AAAACATAGGACAGAGGACTCTGAACATGCCAGCTATGTTCACCTGGATTCCAGGCCCCTGTTCCTTTTCTCTACCCCAGCCTCCTCCTCAGCTGGGGTGTGTCAATTCCAGGCTTACAGGGATCAATACATGGGTACAATGTTTCTGAGCTGACAGCCCTGCATGGCAAGTACCCAGTCTAATATTCTTTTCAAACGCCCATTTCCTTTCATTTTAGAGATCTCCTTGCCCATTTTCAATCAACCATTATTTACTGAGGGCCTACTAAATGAAAAAATGGATGTTAAAGTACCAGGGAAAGGCTTAGAAATGTCAAATATTATTGTTATTAAGCCCTGAAGGAGGGGCAAGCAAGCATTAGACGGATCTCTGCCCTCAACAGCCCACTCTTCAGTTAGGAGTCCCGTGTGGCCCAAGATAACTAGCATTGGAAAGCAGTGCGTGAAGGATGCCGAGAGGGGATCACAGGCCACGAGAATAAAAGGTCAGAGGTTCTCTTTCATTCTCCCTGATCTTGATTTCACTTGTTTCTACCACACTTTCCACTTCTCTGACCCAAGAAACTTGGTTGAGTAAAGAGAGGCTATTTCCTTTTTCCCTGTAGACCTTGGGGTGAGGGGCAAGATTTTTTTACTTTTAACATTAATTTAATTTTTTTTTTTTGAGCTTCACAGGCATTTTATTAATATATTCTTCTTCATGTACATTAGGTTGTGAAACACTGCTGCTCCTGCTGCTGTGGTAAGGAGCAGGTTCTTGCAGCTCTCTTGACGACAGCTGTATTTGTTTCCAAGCTCTCTGACTGTGGCCAGGGGTGCAGATAGGGCCCTGGAAGGGATGCATCTGTAGGAAACCAGCAGGTCCTAAGGGAATCAGACCCTTGACCTCGGTCTCCTTCATATTATGCCATGAGCAACTGAACTAGTTGCTCACTATTTAGCAGATTAGATCAAAAACAAGACCTAAAGGCATTGTTATTAGTGTCCTGAGGACCGTAACTTTCATTCGGGCAACACGTGGGCTCCAGAGGAGCCTACTTAAGTATTTTTAGGCAAATTTATTTAGGCAAATAGACTTTTAGGGCAGCAGATCTATGTATCTGTGATTTGTCAACCAGATTCCTTAAGGGTGACGAAGATTACAAAGAGGTCAGAAGTCAGAGAGGTCTGCCTAGTTGTGGCTCAGCCTCTCTCAAGCTGCATGATTTTGTAGAGTGAGTGTCTCCCCTGCCCTGGACCTCAGCTTCCCTGTTGGTCAGCGGCTGAGCTCAGTATGATCTAAGCAGTAAATGAGGGGTTTGGATTTTTCCATATCAGAGTACCCCAACTGGCAGAGGAGGGTAAGTGGGTGCCTTAGGGAATCTGGAGACATAGTCTAAATATTCACAAGTGCAAAATTTTGTCAAAGACATTTTTTATTTGTTTGTCTACAAATTCACTCAAGTGTTGGATTCTACCCCATATCACATTCGTGTTTACTGTACACTGTCCCCCCGACTCCACGTTGAGTAGAACCAGCCCATTGGGAGGATGTGCCATGTTCATCTTGGCTTCCAGGACCTCTGGGCAGTGCTGGCTTTCTTTTGTCAGGAGGTTGCAGTCAGGAGTTGTAAACTAGCTCCGGGGGCCTTCTAGGCTTAGGGCACATCACTGGGCAGTTACTGAGCCTTGGCTTTACATTTATAAAATCAGATTGGGGTAATGGGACTTCCAGAACTCTCCAGGCTTTCTTCTTGGCCCTTTTAATAAGTAGATACTACGTTTTCTTTAGTTGATATAATATCTAGGTCTATGGTTTTAAGTCTGTAAATGTATTTTTCTAGGTTTGTAATGTGGCTAGTGACACAGGTATGAATAGTTTAGGGCACAATGCCAATATAACCCAAGAAGTCTAAAAAAAAAATCTGAATTCATGTACAAAACAGAGATTAGAAGTTTAGATACAACCCTATTCAATTAAAGAAAATTTAATTATATCATTTGCTTCTGCAACAATTATTGTAAATAAATTGAAGATTAGGAAAGGGTTTATGGTTTTTTTTTTTTTTTTCTTTTTTTAAGTTTAGGATTCCTTCTGTCTCCCCATCATAGATTATTATGTAAGGGATCTCATGCGATACTAGCAAGTTGTTAATATTTCTTCATACAGAGCACATTACTGTATATTTCAGAAACATTTCTTGGTAACACAAAATGACTAAATTCCAGAAAAGTCTATTTTTTGTTAAGTTACAAAAATTACTGTATAATCCCTTTAAAGTCCATGTTAAATCTTTTCACCCAGAAGGAGTTAATCCTCAAGATATTACAGTCTCAAATGACTAGAAGTGATTGGTCAAAATTCTGTAAACCTAGCGGAAATTTGTTGCATTGTTTTCTATAAACCACAACCAGAGCTCATTAATTGAAAAATGAATGTCAATTTGCATTAGCTGGCATCTATAAACCAAAAAGGTACAGTGATCCTGGCATGTGATGGATAATAAAAACATCAGCAAAATGTATCAAATAAAATAGAGAAGGTGGGGAGGTGGAGGGATACATTCAGAACCATATTGGAATTTACTGGCAGGGCCCCACAGAAAGGGTTTTAATGAGGCTTCTGCATCAAAATAAGGGAAACCATATGGAATTTTAATTATGACTATAGTATATTTTAAGTACAAATACCCATGAGAAGCATTTTTTACATTGACAGGCCTATCTATATGGGCTCGGTGCTTCTGTGGGGGGCAAACATTGATGTGTTAAGTGTGACTTATTTCCGTGTGAAATTGCTCACTTTATTCTGGTTTCTCTCACATGATCTGAGCATTGAACTTAATATGTACAGAAGTGACCTGCCTTTAACTATTAGCTCTGCCAACTCAAGTTCACCTAGATGCCCTGCAATGAAAAGGCCAGGCGAGGACCGTCCGTGGCCTCCATGTAGTGCCTGGATCGTGTAAGGCAGTGCAGAAGTGTGTGTGTGGGGGACGATGTTACCTGTCATCTGCTCCCATGTGCGATTTCTGTCATAATCACTACTTGTACATTTTTAAACTTGAGCTTGTTGGAATTTCGTACTTGGGAGGGCTTAGGTAAAGGCCAGTTGAGGATGGAGGAATTTATAAAAAGCAGAGAGTAACTGCCCAGGCTGTGTGAGTTTTGGTTTGTCATCTTGAAAGTGTTTGCTTCTGATATTAGAAGCTGCTCACTAGCTTTTCCCCCTCTGCTCATGGGCCTGTGGATTCCGGGAAAGTACTTAATGGGGGGTGGGAACTTCTCTGCCTCCCCCTCCCCTAAGGCTGTTGCTTCTTCTGTCTTGGAATTCACGGTGATAGAACCTTAGAGCTGGAAGGGAACTTAGAGCTCATCCCCCTCATTTTACAGATGATGACACTGCTACCTCTGACTTCTGCCTCTGGCCTTCCACTCTCAGTAAGAAGAGCCAGGCAGGTGAGACTTTTCATTGCCGGGCTGGGCTGGGCGGGGCTGTCTGATTGTACTGTCCAATTTGTGAGGAAAACTTTTGTTAACTATATATTGCTTTTAAATTGTCACTTTTTATTACAAGTGCACATCATGGCACTTACCCCTAACATTTTATGAAGATCCCAGGCTGTGTGCATTTTAACAAAAATCAACAACTCTCAATCAGCACCTTTAAAGGAAAGTATTAGGATTATTTCTTTAATAAATGTTGTAGTATCCCAGAACAAGGGCTAAGTAAAAATGGGGCTGGTGTACCCACTACCTTAGGCCTTCGAGAATTACTAAGTGCTTTCCCTTCTAGATAAAAGCTATAGGAAAAACAAAGATGTGAGATCCAAGGAATTGGAAGATTTTAGACAGGAGCCAAATCTTAAGAACACTGGTATTATAAAAGGGCTTGTCACAATTCTGTCAATTTTAGAAAAGCATAACCCAGTCTTTAAAGATCACAACTATAAGTTTTTAGGCATTTCATAAAACTAATGTCCACATGAAGTGGTTTATAACCATGGTTTCATAAGTTAAGCACCAGAAATATCTATAAAGGAGGTATACTGTTAGCTTTAGAAGTTAAAAGACTTTACATTTTAGGGGAAAACCATCTTTGCCTCCAGGTTACCTGTTCAAATTGGCCTGAAGCTAATTCTGTAGGATGTGGGACAGGGCCCAGTAAATGGATGATGAGGTGCCCTCCCCTTACATCTCTCCTGCATAGTGAGCCTTTTACAAAAGCTACTGTCGGTACCTGGCCTCAATCAGGTCCTACATCTCCCATCAAGACTGTAAATGCAGTGATTCCTAGGTACTAAGCCTTTTCCCCCTACTTTCAAAACCTGCTTATTTAGTTTATGACCCTTGGGAGAACTTCTAAGGGCTAGACCCTTCCTCTACGCCCCCAGATAAGTAAGATAGTTCCGGAAAACATTGAAATCTGGTTTGAGTTTTTGAAATCTGTTACTAAAATGAAGAATAAAACAAGATTTTAAATTATTTTAAAGTTGAAAAGAAATGATAGGAACATGTTAGAGTATCTTTTTGAAGTTCCTTCATTGATGAAGGGACCCCACCAAGAGTACCAATAACAAATCTGATCATTTTGGAATATCTTCATATTGGGTTGAGAAAAAAAAACTTGTCCAACTCAGTAAAAATGTCACTTTCAAATATCTGAGGTGCAACGAGAAACAAAAAGAGAAAAAGATCAATGAAGATTCAGTCGTAAAGTCTGGTGAGTGAATCAATATGGTCAGAGTGTTGGGTTGGCTTACACATATGACCTAGCACACGTTTGGGTTTTTAAAGCCCTTTGGGATTCTCTGGAGGTAAAGAACTTAAGGATGAATGCCGCTAAGACTAAGTGAAAAAAGAAAAAGAGACTGTGTAGTGGCTGGTGCTTTTGAAGGTCTGTTTGTGGCTTGCTGTTCCTTTTTGGGAAGCTAAAGTTTTCTTTTTTCTTGTAAAAATTCTATCATTATTTTAATTGATATTTACAGATTTTTCCCCCCATCTTCTGTTATAATTTTTAGGTGCTTCAGAACTGGGCCCTTTTTCAGACCCCAGGCAGTTCCCAAGCATTTCATCCCTCACTGAGAGCCGCTTCTCCAACCCACGAATGCACTATCCAGCCACCTTTACTTACACCCCGCCAGTCACCTCAGGCATGTCCCTCGGTATGTCCGCCACCACTCACTACCACACCTACCTGCCACCACCCTACCCCGGCTCTTCCCAAAGCCAGAGTGGACCCTTCCAGACCAGCAGCACTCCATATCTCTACTATGGCACTTCGTCAGGATCCTATCAGTTCCCCATGGTGCCGGGGGGAGACCGGTCTCCTTCCAGAATGCTTCCGCCATGCACCACCACCTCGAATGGCAGCACGCTATTAAATCCAAATTTGCCTAACCAGAATGATGGTGTTGACGCTGATGGAAGCCACAGCAGTTCCCCAACTGTCTTGAATTCTAGTGGCAGAATGGATGAATCTGTTTGGCGACCATATTGAAATTCCTCAGCAATGGCCCAGCGGTATCTGGGAGCCACGTCCCAAATGTATCGATATATACATATATAGAGAGAGTGCATATATATGTATATCAATTAGCTATCTACAAAGTGCCTATTTTTTAGAAGATTTTTGCATTCACTCACTCAGTCATGATCTTGCAACCATAAGAGGGTAGATTTTGAGACGCAAAAGGCCCAAGAAAGACAATCATAACTGGGTTTCAGATTGTTTTCTATTTAAAATGTACTTTTACAAACAAAGGAAAAAGATATTTTTGTTGCTTTTGTTGTTTGAGCTGTTATCATAAATAACCTGTTCATATGCCAATTCAGAGAGGTGGACTCCAGGTTCAGGAGGAGGAGGAGCAAAGCCACTTCCTCCCTGTGCTTTGAAACCACACGCCCTCCCGGTTGCGCTGTGGATGGACCAGTGCACGCTGCAGACCCGCTTACAAAGCCGGTCGAGGTGCACGTAAAGGGAGAAGAGGGAGAATGGACGCTCCCATGACGGGACGGTCCACTCGGAACAACTGTTCCAAACTTGGCTTTCAGACTTCCGCAAGTACTCATTGGAACTGTTTGGTTCGGGTTTTTTTTTTCCTACTCTAAGAAAATGACTTCAAGAATACTGGTCAGGATAGATTTATTTTACTTTTTTATACTTTTGTTTTCCTTTTCCCATTTAACCAAAAAGAAATCCCATCCCGCAAGCCCCCCTTCTCCTTTTATGCAAAACTGAAAATGGCAATACCTTATTATAGCCATAACGGTATAGATAGTGTTTGCGTTTGGCTGTGTGTTGTTTTCTTTTTTTTTAAATTATGAATATGTGTAAAATCTGAGGTAACTTGCTAACGTGAATGGTCATATAACTTTAAAGATATATTTATAATTATTTAATGACATTTGGACCCTTGAAACATTTCTTAGTGTATTGATATGTTGACTTCGGTCTCTAAAAGTGCTCTTTATTAAATAACAAATTTCTTCAGTGGGCTAGAGCCATATCTGAAATATTGCTAAGCAATTTCAGTTCATCCAGGCACAATGTGATTTTTGAAAATACTTCCATCTCCAAATATTTTAGATGTAGCTTGTTTTTGTGATGTGTGAAGGAAATGTTATGTTTAGTTCTTTCAGATCTTCCATTGCCTCTAACATAGCTTTGCCTTTTAAAGCAATAATTAGGGATTTAAGAAACAACTCTTAGCCCTTTATCACTTCTGTTGCCCTTTATCAGCATTAAATGCTGCAGTGATGTGGTTTCCTAATTTCTTTCACATAGTGATGACTCTGTCATATTAAAAAAGACAAGCACAAGTGAATGATTGAACTGCAGAAAAATGTTCTGTGGTTTCATAGTTAAAGCAAAACTCTAAATCGCCAGGCTTCATAGTGAAGACATAGTCAGCTTATAGCCACGCAGGTGGCTAAGGGCTCAGTCATGATTCACATGGTACCGGAAAGCAAAATTGCACCAGGGATTCTTAACCAACCCGCCTTACCAAAGTCAGTCAGGGGAACCCAAGTCTGCCCTACCCAAAGCCCCACTGACAACTCTCCGCATAATTTGCATTTAAAGGAGCAGAATTAAGTCATTGTCTTCTGAGAGCAGGGTCATCTGAAGTAGCAGGAAGTTCCACAGAGAGCTGATCTGAGAGAACAGACAGCCTGTGGGGACCCATGTACAACCTCTGACATTCATATTTCTCACAGTGGAGGGGAACGGGAAGGCTGACCATGTGGAATTGGGCGTCTGCTACTGTGTCTGGATTTGAGTTAACAACCCTCCTGTAGGATGCACTGTGACCACTCCTGGCGGCCATGGGGCAGATTCTCAAGTATGAATCTTAATCCAAGCCGGGATCATTCCATGACACCGCCAGGCAAATCCCTGCCCTCCCCCGCACAGGTCAGGGCCCCTTCATTTGAATTCTGTGCCCCCCTCAGCAGAACTTTGCGGAGATGTGCCTCCAGCCCTGAGGCCCTTGCTCTCTAGTCATTCCCAAGCCCAGCTTTGTAGGCTGCCAAGCATGGCAGGACACGGCAGTTGGACCTGTGCTTCCTGCCTGGGTGCCTCCCTGGGAATTCATCCTGACTCCTTCTAATAAAAATTGAGGGCAAAACAAAACAAAACAAAACAAAACAAAACACTTTGCCTTCTGAAGGTTGTATACCAAGTATGCTTAGATAAAGAAGCCACTTTTCTATTGCTTAAGTAAGATGGAAGTACTAATTGATACTATTTATTGTTTCTATGTGGTAGCTTGAAGCACGCCACTGTCCATTTATTTGTAAGTGTAAAATATGTGTGTTTGTTTCAGCAGCACTTAAAAAAGCCAGTGTCTGGTTACACATTTCGATTTTAATTAATTGACATAAAAATGTTACCGCCAGTGCCAGCTGTACCCTATTTAATAATAAAGGTACTATATTTGTACATTATTTTTTAATGTTAAAAGGGCTTTTTTAAGTTTACAGTACACATACTAAGTGACGTTAGGGATGCTTTTGTGTTGAAATGTTATTATAGTGGCTGCAGGCAGCAACCCAGAAACACTTTAGAAGTTTTTTTTCTTGGGAAAAATTCAAGCACTTCTTCCTTCCACCCTCATTCCAACCACTCCAACGGGGTAATTCACATTTCTCAGATCAAATGCTACCCCTTTTTGGCCTGGAGGTTAAATTTTTCTTTTATCTTTTTTTTTTTTTTTAAAAAGTCCTTAATTTGCACTGGGCCATGTGTATGATTTGTGATTTCAAGACCAAAGCAAAGCCTTACTACTACTACTACTCTATTTCAGGTTAAAATAGCACAGTCTTTAGGTAGCATCAGCGTTGCTGGAGTTGACAGTGTGACCAACACAGCCACTTTTCTGTCTGTTTCAGTTGTCTCACACATTTTAACCTATGTCAGAGTTCCAGGACAGGTACCACGGCTTCGGTTTTAGATTAGTGGAATGACATCCCGCCTGGAACTGAGAGACTCAACAGATCAGCTGTTGTTTGCTCTTTAGACTGTCTTCCGCACCAGGGCCTTTTAAAAATGAGCCGAGAAATCCACACCATTAGAGACCATCGTTGCAAATTCAGAGGGGAGGAGATGTGTGTGCTGGCTGAAAGAGTTCCCTCCATTCCCAGGACAGGGACTGACTCAGAGTCTAGGTTAATACATGGAAACACAAAGCATTAGCACAAACAATGATCAAATCTATGATATTTGAAAGAACAATAATACATAAAATAAATAAAAGACGACTCTTCCAAACCTTGAATTTGTTGTTCTTAAAAAGATAATGCATTTAAAAAAATATTTTCTATGTGAGAATTTTTTAGATGTTTGTTTACTTCATGTTTACAAATAACTGTTTGCTTTTTAATGCAGTACTTTGAAATATATCAGCCAAAACCATAACTTACAGTAATTTCTTAGGTATTCTGAATAAAATTCCATTTTTCTGGATATGCTTTACCATTCTTAGATTTCTGTGGAACAAAAATATTTGTAGCATTTTGTGTAAATACAAGCTTTTCATTTTTATTTTTTCCAATTGCTGTTGCCCAAGATTTGCTTTCCATGCACATATTGTACAAATTCTGCTTTGTGCCACAGGTCATGATTGTGGATGAGTTTATTCTTAACTTCAAAGGGACTATTTGTATTGTATGTTGCAACTGTAAATTGAATTATTTGGCATTTTTCTCATGATTGTAATATTAATTTGAAGTTTGATTTTAATTTTCAATAAAATGGCTTTTTTGGTTTTGTTATGTGTGTACATTGGGTCTTTTCTCATCCGCGGCTTCCTCTCTACTCTGACGCCTACTCCTGCCTACGCCTGGGCACTTACTGGCCGTAGGACTTGCCAGGGCTGGATGAGAAGAGATCTTATATTACTGGTGAGAGGAAAGAAAATCTTGGTAAGCGCTGGGTCTTGTTTTGTCCTGCTCGTAATGGGTGGGCAAAGAATCTAGCCATGAACCCACTTCCTTATCATCCTGTGTCTAGAGGAAGGCGTGCTCCCCCCATCCTTGGGTAAAGCCCCTTATTCCAGCTATGGGACCAGTCAGGGTGTAAGGACAGTAGCCTTGATGGTTCCATGATTCTAATCTCTGGGCACATGAACGGGGCCCGGCAGTGACCCCCCTGGCTGTAGTCACAAGCTCTCAGGCGGCCCAGCCATAGGGGATCATCTATTTTCCTTCCCACATCTCTTTTGGGTTCTTAAAAAGAAGGTCACCCAAAGCCCAAGGATGAGTAAAAGCGGACCTTGGTCTGGAGACCTCTAGCCTCAGAAAAATTCTACTAGCGGGCATGACTATGGTTTGGAGATTTTTTTTTTCTGGGCCATTGTTTATTTTTGGTAACTCCCTCCCCTGAGATGAAGTTGAGGGCCTGGGGTAGAGTGGTTGCTTTCTTTAGGTCCTGCGCTTTCTGTACGCCTTGGCTTACCACAGTTCTAAAAGAGGGACCAGGAAACCGTGGTGCAGAGAAGCTCAGTCCTGGCCAGTGGGCCCCATCACACTAAGAGTTAGAGGCATCCTTTCAGAAGATCTGCTCATTCTTACCCCTTTGACACTGTTTTCCGAGAAATCTTGGAAATAGCTAATTTCTAAGACTAGAAGACATCCTAAAAGCACTTGGGTGAACTTAGGCCAGAGAACTTGTTTGCAACTCTTTGAGGATGTATATTTATCCTTTTAAATGAAACATCTGTGTGACTTTAAAAGGCATTGCGTGGGAGGTGGGCATAGTGGTTTTCTCGTCCTCTCCAGCTTTCTCCAGCAGCATGGTTTAGGGCAAATCACTTCACACCTCTAGATTTCAGTTTCTTGGTTTATGGAAGGGCATTGGGCTAGATCTCTGTGCTGTTGACATTCCAGGCTGGATAATTCTTTAGTGTGTGTGCAGGGAGTGCTGTCCTGTGCGTTGTAGGATGTTGAGCAGCATCCCTGGCTTCTACCTACTCGATGCCAGTAGCACCTGCCCAGGTGTGACAATGAAGAATGTCTCCAGACATTGCCAAATCTCCCCTGGAGGGCAAAATCGCCCCAACGGAGAATCACTGGGCTAAAGGCTCCCTCTGAATTCTCGGGTCAGGCTTTATTGACAGAGCTGGTGTGAGAATACATTGCTCATTAAAACAGGATAGCCAGGCAGAAGACTGAGGGGCTCCCAGTGGTGGACGTACATCAACCTTTCCTGCCCCTTCGCCTGATGGCCCCCTGAGGTTTGGTGTGTTGTGAGGGAGGCCCTGGCTTTCGTGTCTGCACTTCTTCCCTCCTCCCAGCGTCACGGGCTGTGCAGCCGTGAACAGCACAGCTGTGGGGCTCTCTTAGGCCTGAGCTGCTTGACCACATTTATCATGGCTGCTTCTGTTTCTCGCCGGAAAAGACAGGCAGAAGAGGAAAGCAATTTCTCCAGTGTTTTTGACCCTTTGTGCCCCCTGCCCCCCAAATATTTAGTCATCAGACATTTCTTCGAGAGTGGGTGTTTCCTGCTAACTCAATCCCGGCCGAGACTGGCCCAATAAACACCTCAGCTCTCAGTCGCAGAGTTTATTTGGCTGGGAAATGGGTATTGCCATGTAAACAGGAAGCCCCCTGAAGTTATTATCTACAGATGCAGTTGAAGAGCCACATGTTTATATTTATGGGATTTGAGAACAGTCTGCAAAGGCAAGGGAGGAGGTGGAGGAAGCCCTCATTCACAGACAGACAGAGCAGGGCACACAGATCTTCATGAACTGAGTTTTCATTGCCTCTGGAAACGGGTGGTTAACAATAATGACACAGCCAAGATCCACGGCAGAACTGGAGGGACTGGCTTGTCCGATTTAAGCAAACAACCCCACCTAGATACTCAGGTTAACAGCAGGCAATCCAGTCCACTGGCCGCTCTGTCCCAATTATTTAAAATCATTTTAGAGACCAGTCCTAGGAAACAACAGTTTGGGAGCATCTGAAAGGTAGGGAGTTTAGGATAAAACTGCCCTCTTATAGTCTCTAAGTTTTCTGGGGACACATAAGCTGACAGCCATGGCTTTAGTGAGTGTGGGCCAGCTCACCTATGAGATCCCAGGCAAACTCATGCATTTGCTCCTCGAGGCAGTTCCTAAGGGCCTGGGAAGGACAGCTTTGTGTGTGAGTGTGCAATGTCTGAGCTGTCCGGGTGTTGGTGCAGAGAACGTGCAGGTGGTGAGACAGCTGGCCTGCACACTAGGCCTAGGGACACCGGGTTACTCCAATTTATCTCCCCTCGCCTCTGCTCTTCCTTCAGTGGCTCTCTCCTCCGGCCTGGAGAAGGTGCTTCAGTAAGGCCAGGGAGGAACGATACATGGATAGCTGATGCTCTGTACATAAATTATGAGCTCTGAGCATAGGCAAGGGAATCTCTCCCCTCCTGGCCACCATTCCTGTGCACTCCAATAAGCCTCTTTGTGGCTTCCCAGCGGCATCCCAGCAGTAGCTATTTAATCAGGAGGTCTTGGACAAGAAGTTTTAAAAAAAGTTCTGCATCAAAATTTAGCAAATAAAAGGATCCACTGCAGACGCAAAGGGTAATATACTAGAGTGTGTGTGTGTGTGTGATGTGTGCATGCATGCCTGAAGGGAGGGAAGGAGGGAGGCAGGAGGTTGGAGGGCTGGAAAGAGGTGTCTGAGCAGCCTTTTGGAGAGAGAGGAAGCTCACCACATACACAGCGCTCCTTGACACAGCTTGGATGTTTGTTATTCATGCAAATTCTGCGAAAAAGCACCACCTTCCTCCCGCAAGTCTTGCAGAAGCCATTACTCTTCTTCAAATAGGTTATTTAGAGGGGACAAGGGACACTGGATGGCCCCTGAGATGTCAGGAGCACGGTGAAGCTGACCTTTAAGAAGGAGTTATTATGAATTTTTGTAAAGCTTTTATTCAAAAGCTTTCTGTGACTCAGCCGGTCCTGCTGTTCAGACATGCTCAGCCAGTTGGAAAGCAAAAGGATCAAGTTTCTGGAAACCCACTTAACTTTCACTAAAACTTATTTTAATTCGTTTTCTTATTATCTTGTTGCAGTGATGTCTGGCTACTTACTGGAGTTTTCTGGAAAACTTGCTTTATGTTTTAACATTGCGAACGTAGCTTACTTCTTGATTGCTATCTTTTTGTCCCAGATCATTCTGTCCCACTCCATAGCCAATAGGAAGGGAAGAATTTACCCCCACCTGTCATTCTTATAAAGAAATCAAGACCATATGGCAAAATGCTAAAAAAAAAAAAAAAAATGGGGAAGGGCAAGCAAAAGTTCTTCCACACAAGCCCCTCAAGAACTAGTCTTGTCTCCACAACATTAAATGAGACCAGAACACAAAATTGCGACCAGGTCTCTCATGGCCTTGTACTCCTTAGGCCTTAGGCCATTTCTCCTGCAGAACCATAAGTACCAGAGTTAGCCTGGATGTGGAAAATGGAAGTGAGACATAGCAGCCTTAGTGGAATTAGGAGATACAGGATATGGTGGCAGAGCTTAGGGTGTGTTTGAGAGATAGGGTACCAGGAACTCCCAAAACACAATTGGATGATGGATTGATGTAAACGTGCAAATTTATTCTTTAAAAACACCAAAAAGCAAACAACAAAACCACATGTCACAGATAATTGTGGGAGTATTAATACAACGGTTTTATGATTTAAGTCTCCTTGGACATCTTTTCCTTCCTAAATTAGGTCATTTATTTTTTATAACTCCATCCATCTCTGACAGTGACACAACTCTGACCAGTTTCGCTTTCTGTTTCTCTTTATTTTTCTGCCCTCAAAGGAGAGGAGCCTTCTGTGGCATCATGACATATTCCAGTAATGCCTTAGTCTGGTTCTGTTTTCTCTAACAGTCATTTAATATTTAAATCTTGAAAATCATAGTGACCTTTCTCCTTTTTCCCAGTGTGCTTAAAAAATCTTTTTTGTGTGTGGATTTGGGGGCGTAGAAAATTTGACTCCTTATCGAAATCTTCCTATTAGTGGTTTCACAGATGAGAAACACAGAGATTATTATTGAATATAATTCTCAACCACAACTTCTGGAACACGAACCGTGAACTCAGGTTGTGCAGGGGGAGACCGATGGACCAACTTTCATTCCTCATGGGCGTGAGAGGGAGAGAAGTATTCAAGAAGGAAGAAGTGTGGAACTTTAGCAAGGAGTTAAGTGGTTAATGGGAACTAAGTTTTTTTATTGGCTAATAAAACCTCTCAGGGTTTTTCATATTATATGGTTCCTTCAGGCTCCTAGCCCAACGCTTAAAAAAAGAAAAAGACAAAAACAACAACAAAAAGCTGGAGCCTAAATACCGATGTCGTCCCAGTCTTGTTTACTTTTTCATTTCCGCAGTTGTAAAAAAAAAAAAAAAAAATTCCTCTGGTAGTTCAACTTTATCACACTGCAGGAGCGGGTCAGCGTTTGAACAACTCCAATGATTCCTGCCTCCCAGGGAAAGGAAAAAGTCAGCTTTGTCTTTCTGTTTCGGAAAAAGGAGACCACGATGCCAATGATGGATGCATCAGGAAATTTTAAAATGAAAGCCATAGAGGGAGGAGGGAGAGGAGATATTGAACCGAAACACATCTCTGGAATCCTGAATGCAAATGATCTCTGTCCTTTTATTACCAGTGGTTCTCCCAACAGAGCAGGATGTTCTTGTTTTTAATAATAGCCAGACCAGATGCTAAATTCTCCTCGGCAACATGCTGTATAAGTGAGAAGGCAAACAGCTGATTCCTGTTAAGATG